CTGCGCGAGAGTTGGTTTCGTTTACACGTCAATTGATCATTCCGACTTTATTACTTTTTGCAACAAAGCTAGATGTCCGAGTCTAATTCGAATTCAGGTGACGATGTTACTGGGCCGCGCTCAGCCTGTCATTCCGCCTAATCTCTATTACCAACATTAAAGCCTGGGGTCCTCAGGTAAGTGACGATGTAGAAGTTCTTGAGGTTCAAGATCACTCTCAAGATTATTCTTCTTCACTTTCTGTGACTCATAGTGAAACTGAAACCAACAACACCAAACAATTCTTTTCAGAAGTTCCTTTTTCTTCAAAATGTTTTGCTGCTTGGCAGCAGTTCAAAAAGGGACATGGACCCAAGTAAACACTGTTCGAAAGTTCTAAAGACCAGTGGTGGATCAACCAAAGGATTGTTTTCTAATCTGCTTTCAGCACACCACATTTTGATACCGACTACAAGAACTAACTCTTCAAAAAGACAACGAACTGAACCATCGTTGGCCACTTTCTTTGCATTGAAAATTCTAATCAAAATTGCGATTGACACTCTATATTCTATAATATACTGCTTCAAGTACACTTTTATAAAACTCGTAGTCGAACTCCAGGATTGGCACAATTGGGAAAATGGGTGATTTATATTCCTTTTATTCCTTGTATTCCTTGTATATATTTTTGCAGACACAAAAAATGTTCGACTCAAACCTTTTAAAATGGTTATACTTTTACTCAAATTGAGTCGGTATATAGTATGTGGTTCATTTATTGCCGGTGGATCGGTCTTTCTATACAGTTTTATAACTGGTTTCATGGTACACCGTAGTTACTAACTGAAAGTGATGAATCTAGGAATGAAGTTCCGAGCCAATTTCGCCATTAAAAGTTTGAAAAAGTGACCTCTTCAACTGTAGAACTGACTCATTAATCCTAGCAGGTAATTAACTCTGGATCCTCATCAAATTGATTCCATTCTAAATTCTAACCATAAACAACAAAAAAACCATTAACAGATAACTCCGTTTACCATTTGACATGTTCCAGTTTGAACGAGGCCTTCTCCGGACAAATTCTTGAAGGCAAGTCTTCTCTAGCTGAAGTCCAAACAGTATAATTTATTTGATAGTGTATTACTAAGGTGCACCCCAGCACTCGGCGCGCGCGGCGGCTTTGATGCTAGCGGCTACAAGTTAGGCAGCTGCAGAAAAGATGCCGCGCGCGTTCAGCGTGCGAATTTTCGTTTTTGATTTTACAAATGACAAAGCAACTTTTAATGATTATTATTGGAATTATCGGATATTTATAATTCAATATGTATTGATTCTTCTGTGGAAAATAAAAATTGTATTTTACTTAAAAATTGTATTTTACTTTCTGCTGATATTGATAATTGTAGTAAAGTAATCAATAAATGCTTGTCATACACATACGTTGTATGACCCGCCGCGCACGAAGTGCGCGGCTCCCCCTGTATCGTCAGGACGATACCATAGTGAAACGACCGTGGGGGTCGCAACGTGATACAAATTACCTGAGGACCCCAGGCTATTATGTTCATTAACATACCGAATAAAGATTTGGCGGAATGACAGGCTGAGCGCGGCCCAGTAAGATACAAATAAATGCCAAAAAATGACCTCTGACGAGGCTCGAACCGGGATGAGCTCAATAACATAAGCCGCCTTAGCCGCCATGCTACTACAGGCTCAACAGATTTACAATATGTAACTCTATAATCTATATAAAAATACGCGCACGCAAGTAACTTTTCGTTATTTATGGATCCGAATAAAAGCGACATACCCACAATTCTGAGAAATAAACCTCGCGCGACATAAAGCGACATAATCGCAATTTCGCCCACACATTTGCTAGAACACCTCCTCCATAAAATAGTGCTGCAAGTGCCACATGTGAGTGCTGCAAGTGCCGCATGTTACATATGAAAGTGCTGCAAGTGCCACATGTGAGTGCTGCAAGTGCCGCATGTTACATATGAAAGTGCCACAAGTGCCACATGTTAGTGCCGCAAGTGCCACATGTTACATATGAAAGTGCCACATGTTAGTGCCACAAGTGCCACATGTTACATATGAAAGTGCCACAAGTGCCACATGTTAGTGCCCAGTGCCGCAAGTGCCACATGTTAGTGCCACAAGTGCCATAGTGCCACATTTACGTAATAAAAACGGCTCAAAACTCACTAATTATTCCAAAAGGGTATGACAATTTAATTACAAATTTGGTACTGTGAAAATACTCTGTACTCACAGTCTTTAGAAAACAATGGTACAAAAATTTGTAAAATCCGAGCAAGTTTATTTTTATCGTGCACCCCCTATTAGTATTACTATTAATATTATTAAAATACTGGCTGTTTCATTGCATTTCGTGTTAACGTACGTACGGATGTCGGATGACAGTATTATATAATGTTTGTTTTAAACCATAAAATGTTAAACCGTCTAATATGTAATATGTAATAGTCCAATTAACTTGGCGCGTGTTTCGGTAAATGTTTTTTGTCGCAAAGAAAGCTTTAATAAAACAATAATCACCAAAATGCGAAAAATAAAAGGAAGCTTTTTGAATTTGCGTTTCCTGATTCCTTGATAATGATTGTTGATTTAATTGTAGGTTTATAGTTTACCAAAACGCGCACCGAGTTGTAGTTGTACTGTACTCGTCCGGGCCGCGTCGACGTATAACGCAACGGTTAACGTATATAATTATATAACTGTCAATGTTTGGAACAAATAATAATATATTACAAATATTACATGACGTCAATTCCTTAACGAAAATGCCACAGTATACCTATAGTATTAACCAAATGTTAATTGGCAAGTGACCCATCAGTATCAATGAAATCAATGTAAATTTGTCATACTTTTTTGGAATGATTAGTAAGTTTCGCATTTCGTTGACCATTGTTTATGGTCTGGCCCGTCGGCAACATTTCAAGAAGAAAGCGGCCGCGCGCGCTTATACTTCAAGTCCAATACAACTTATGATCGCGGCGCTTGTCTTGGTAGGTTAATGTTATAAACTTACAAGTACAAGTATAACAATATTTGCATACCTTGTAGTTTTATAACCTACCAGGACGCGCGCCGAGTTGGACTCGTCTAATAGTAATATTTGAAACAAATATTTTACGAGTATCATATTTTATAAATAAGTATTGAAGCGAGCTTGTTCTTAGTTGCGCAAGTCTTCGGCCTAGTCTACAGTCTACTGTGGCCGTATAATAGGTTGATCGACAGGTACGTATGCTTCGCAACCGAAGCTTGCCTTGATGATGTTGTAGAATGAGAATCCCAATCACCGATGCAGTTTTCTGTTGAGTTTTTGCTTTTTGTTCCATTGTTGAACAAAAAAGGTTTTCATAGACTTGCTGAGGGATTGAAAGATCGCGATCGCTAATTCCTCCTGATAGTTGTTTTACTGTGTTCCTGGTTGTATCACGTGGTGACCCCCACGGTCGCTTCACTATAGCGTCTTCGACGCTACAGGGGGAGCCGCGCACTTCGTGCGCGGCGGGTCATACAACGTATGACAAGTTCCTGGTACGGTGGATTCCAGCCTGGGGAATCATAACAGTTTTAGATCCTTCTGCTCGGCGTAAGCGTGCCCCCTACTAAGGAAGAGCATCCATCTTTGTCCAATCCCTCCATGACCTCCCGAGGTAGATATAGACTTGGGACGAAAGCTCGATAGCGAGCGGATATCTTCCAGTGTCACCCCAAACAGCGGTGTTCGAAGTCGATTTGTTGACATTCATGGTCCATTTCATGAATGATAGGTGAACTTTCTCCAGGTGGTATTTTGCGGTGTCCTGTGTATCAAGAGCTTGATTTTTGCTCTGGAGTTTGTGTACATGAACTCCATGTATTATTAAAGAATCTTCCTTTGATGCCTAGCTTCTAGAGTTTTATTTGTACAAGAGTGCCTCCCGGCAAACTGTATCAAACTATATATATATATGTATCAAACTATATATAGTAAAATTGGTAATGTAAATGGTTAATTTAGAGTTAGACTTTTGATTTTATGAATAACCTACTTCGCAACTCATCGACAGTAAATACAAAATAAATATTTTGCAGGAATCCCCCATTAAACTTAGACGCCAGTAAATGAGTTTATGTAAAATCTAGAAAGTCAAAAATCATTTATCACTATACTACAAAAAAATATACAAATAAAAACGTTATCAGAGACTACAATAACATAAACCCGCCACGCAAAGGGTTTATATAACAGATCATCCCGCGCTAGCGGGATGATCTGATAAACACATACGAGTGCGCGCAGCGCACGAGTTTTGTGTTAATATGTAATCCCGAAGCGCCAGCTGAGGGATTACATTTATTTAGCCCTGAGCGTGAAGTGTTTATGGATTATAATTATCTCCGGCGATTTCGACAAGGGATTTATACTTTAGAATTGGAAAGCAGTTCATCAATCTGAATGTCAAACCGATCTGTCATAGTGGAGCAATAGCTTGAACGTTAGCAGGAACAAGAGCTGGAAGGAGAGCAAGCAAAACAATACTATTTTTAGGGCACGGACAAGGGTAGCTGGCTAGTCGCCAACTTCTCACGCCACGCGTTGGAGAAATTCCAAGAATTAGCTGCTTTGGCAACGTTCCCAGGAATTTGCGTGTAAAAGAAGTGGACGGTTACGATGTTTCATATCACGTGGTGCGCTTTCGTGTCACGTGGTATAGACTCGACGTATGCTATTGGTGGCACGTGGTACGCACGTGACGCGCCCACGTGATCGCGCGTCTAGCTGTTCTACTATTATCGAGTTCTAATCAGCAGTATCATTGATTATTGTAAGTCGGAGAATTGAATGATAAACATCAGTTACGACTAAAAAGCGGGCCGGGTTTATACAAATTTCCGGGGCGGGATGATATCACCTTGAGATGTTTATCTAACAGCGGGCCGGGCTGAGTGATAATATGATCCCGCGTCGAAATCCCGGAGATATTTATAAGTACAAAAAGTCTATTTGCTGATTGCTGAACTGCATAGATCTTTGTGCAACCTTGTCAATTAATAATCAACAGATTGATGCCAAAAGGATTAATGCTCCATCCCTAATATTTGAAATCTCATAAAAGATAATGTCGAAACTATAAGTTATTTTTAGCTCTGAGTGTTCACTCATGACTGTATGTACATCGCGAAAGAGTCAAATAAGTCACAACGTAGCATTTCTCAAACTTTTTCTCGGACGGTTTAAATTTAGTTAGGAATTACTTCCTTCTTTTAAACTCTCACTCCAGTTTTCAAATATTGATTTGAGCACCACATTATTTCCCTCCGAATAATTGAATACAACATTGAACTTATTACTGCCCACTGGATATGTAATTTTGGGCGATTCGTTTCCCGCATCATTATCCCAATAGAATATTACCAATTTTGATACTTTAAACTTGTCCTTATCGATTGTAGAGGATGCTGCTGTGTAAGTAAAAGTCACTTGTTCATTATTTGGTTCCATTTTGATATCTGTTTTATGCTCGTTGTATGTGAATGTGGAGGTAATATCGCTACTATAGTACCCTTCATTGTATTGGAATATGTGTACCTCAACTTTATTCTCGTCATCTGCAAAGGGAAAACATTACAACATCATTGAGCCGGTATAAGTTCGAACTAATAAGATTAAGATGGCAACGAAACAGTCACTTATCACTAAATCGGTTATCTTGTGAGGACTATTTTCTTATTCCCTATGAAAGAAGCTACACCTCTGTAATGACCTATCTCGGGACTCGGGGCCGGAAGTGACTCCTGGTGAACCGTATCTGTAGCTCTAGTCAAAATCAACGTATTTGATAATTATACTTACCCTTATCTTGTAAGACGAATATGTTGTCAAGCTTGTAGAATATAAGTTTGGTGACATCTTCCTCATAAGTCAGTTCTGGTTCAGGAGAATCATTTTCGATATCTGAAAGAAAATAAGGAAATTGTACATCAAATAGTTTGCTTATCTATCTAATTTCCGAAAGTGTCTCCAGAGACATGATCAGGGGTATTATTGTCATTGCTCATAATATCCCAATCACTGTGTAACAGCCGAAGTAAAATGATGGAAAATATAGACTTCAAGTTTGAGTTAGATGAATTTGACTCACTGAAGTGTGTGCCCTCAGTTTGCAGAGTAGGGTCAGGAGCCAACCACTCTCCTTCTGGAAACTCTACAGTCACTTTAGGGGACCCTTCCAAGTTCACAACCATAAAAAGGTTTTCTCCTGAGAAGGTAAAATCCTTGTTATTAATGAATAATTTGATTCTGTTTTTAACAAAATGTTGCATTAGGTAAAGGCTGATCACGGTAGTTTGTATACTGATAACGTAGTTGTACGATGCCTTATCGTCCAACTCACCGATAACAACTCCATTACTCTTTTCCGTTATGAAAGGCTTGGATGTTTCGTACGTTTTATCGAGATAATAGTGCAGCTGTTTTCGGAGAACGACACTCTCTTTCATCTTCATAAATACATCATCACCTGAGTTGCTCAGCGCACCTGGGATGAAAATCTCATGGAATACTGAAGGGGCACTAGAAGTGCACTTAACGATCTTGGTTTTTAGGGTTATTTGAGGGCACGTTGTTAATGTAGTTTAACGCAAACTATTAGATTATTTTCCCCTTAAGTTTTCAATTTGTGACATATTGCTAATTTATAGTTCCGCGAGATTGAAAGGGTTTTTGTTAAACTTAAGGGTCGAATATGGATATATCACATAAATAAGCCTGTTCCCGACTTTGAGCGTTCCTTCGATTCCTGATTTTTAAATAAAATTTACTGTAGCTAAACTATCCATTCTCAAATGCTCACCTGTTAGATCCTCTACTTCACTCGAAATGATAACATAAGGCATCAGCAATGCCAGTAAACCCCACCTGTATTTGTAATAATTTGTTAAGCAAAAATATTTTAGATAGATATAATAAATTATACAACAAGTTTATTGGAAAATTAAGTTGAAGAAACAATCTGGAGTGCTAAATCGTTAAAATGTATTTGAATGAACACTCACCGGAAACAGATAGATTTCTGATCTGCAGTAGAGGGAAGAACACCACCACACATGTTACATGTTACAGCTCTGATGCCAAGTTGGTGGAGGTTGAGAATGTTGTGATAACACGTTTTTAAACCAGCCTCAGTTAGATCCAGATTAGTCCTGAGTTCGAAAACCTTTAAATTTGATTCTTCCGCAAAAGGATGTTTTTTATTTTGGGATTGCATTTATAGGTAATAGAAAGTGACAATATACAGGAAGTCGATTAAATCTAACCTGTGATAGTGGGTTGTGCCTGGTGACGCAATAGTTTCTAAAACCAAATTTTTGGCAACATTTTGGGGTTGTAACGCTTTCCTCTTCGAAACGTCATAAAAGTTGTGTTCTTTAAATACTTTGCTGTCCCCAAAATCAGCACTAAGACACACGCTGGTATCATCCTCAAACTGTTGATCAGAACAGTGGAAATATTTAGAGCAGTCTTCGCCTGTTATGAAATAAATATTAATCAACTAAAAGTGCAAATGATAGCCTGATTCGAAAGTGCATAAAATTAATCATAATAACGATTATAATTAATAAAACATGTCTAGCATTGTTATCGCATGTCCGGAATGTTCCTGAAACATTCTTCTGTGATAATAAATTGTAACATAAACAATTATTTTTCTTTATCCATTTACTTGTTGGGCTAAGTAGAAATCCGCCCTGAAGTAAGAAACCAGCATCGGTATCACTCAGATAAGAATCAAAATCAGATTGTATTTCTGAGTTGTCGAAATCAAGTATATAAGTATCATCTCCATCGGTTGGGTAGTATCCTTCTTCAGGGGTTAGAGTTATACCGGATCCTAAAAATGCAAATGATTATTAACAAATGAACCTCATTATTCGATATAAAATTAAGGATGCCAATTGTCAAGAAATACAACCTCCTGAAAGCTTATTCTTAGGATTCAATAAACGGCGTGAAGCTAATTATTTTAGTTAATCATGGTCGCTCACCAGAAGTAATTGTTTGTCTCGTCTTCAATGGAAGAATTATGTTAGTAGAAGCAGCAAGATTATCCTCATTCTCGATTTCTAATTCATAACCTAGGTTACCTGAAAAATACACACGTTATTTCTAATGTAAAGCCACAAAGAACGTTAAATATAAATGTGGTTAAATTGAGATTGTAAACAAAGGAGGACGAGATTGAAAAGAAGGTAAGATTGGATTTATAAGGAATAGAGAATGAGATTGGAAAGAACCTTTTTTCATAGAGATAACATCTGGAGATAATATATAGTGAGTAGCAATACTGTTCCCGCTATCTTGATCTGTTTTGATTTTATCTGTCGTCAAACTGAAATCGACAATCGTAAATATTTCTCAGATTTGTAAGGATTCAGATTCTATTATTTGCCAATCAAATTAAACGAAAATCAAATTTATTTATGTAAGGACCTTCCTACGATGAAATCGTTGGTCCAAGAAGCGTCGGAGGCTGGATATATTGCTTTCCACTTCTCCGTACACTGATTCAGTGCGTCGTGAACAGAATCACCATAATAGAAGTAGAACTTCACCTCATCGACCCTATAAATCAGCCACTCAGTTTCTGTTTCAGTCAGTGTTATCTCGATCGGAGCACCTGCAAAGTTAATTTAATCGACATAAGCCACTAGAATATAAGATTAGGTGAGGAGAGTAAAGCGGTTCTAGGGTACTGTTCGGTGAATCAAATTCGGTATAAAGAAATTCTATCAAAGATTGATATTTGATGTTGATAATTAACTTGTATTGATGGTTATTGGTTAAGTGATACGAACCTTGTGCTTCAGCAAACATACAGAGGCTTTTATCTGCATCATTACTAGCGAGGTAAATTGGAAGATAGGTTGGATTATCCTCGCTCGTCCACAGCTGATGATGGTTATAATGTCAAAATAAAATGTCAATATTTCATTCCCACATGAACTTGCCTGAACATTTACAACCAGATCGATTATCGTACAAATCAAAAGCTGTAGGTTATTTACCGTGAACTGCTGTTTGGACTCTCCGGTGGGTTTCGTCTCGAAAAAGGTCCCATCAATGTTACCAAAACCAGCGTATTTGCTTCCCTTGTCGCTAAAAACAAATTTCATCGTTTCATTATCCTTCATCGTCTGAGCGAGTTTCCAATCTGTCATCAGGAGAGAGTTATCATAGTGAGAAATTTACTTTTCTGTGAATGATTCCTCCCTATAAATCACAATAAGCCGGCCCCATGGAATACACGCGATAGTATGTTAATTGACCAGCTTCAGAGGAATTTGTTTCCCTGTGAATCAATCAAACTAGATGAATTGTTGTAAATACTGAGATCAAACTATCAATCTACAGGCTATCGTCAAACATGTTGCAAGGCGTCATCTTCAGTGACATAAGCCCTCAAATTATTTGTTATAGTGTTGAAAGTATTAAAAATTGACCAGCTTACCCAGATCTAAGTCTTGACGGAGAGAGATAGTGTCTAGAGGATCCGATGCATACGTTACTCCACTGTTATCAGTCGTTGTTATCTTTAAAAGTAAGGTTTATCACTCATAATTGAAATCTGACTTCCATGGCCCTTAAGGGAAAACTTACGCGACATCTGTAAACACTAAAGAAAATATAACATTATTAAATAGCTAATATAACAGAGTAGTCAATTAAAAATTGGAAATATTATCTGTGATGATCAGATCCTGAAACGTACCGTGAAAGTGTTATCGACAAGATTCACAAAGAATTCTCCACATTTGTCCTTTGTAGCACGGTACATTTTACTTTTTGAATCTATGTTGGCCTTCCATTCTGATTGCTTAAACTGAAATGCATTCATTTGAATATCCTGAATGTGATTCTCAATCAACAGTAAGATGAGAATCTACAAATATAGAATAAATTATCGATCAAAGCAGATTTATAAAAAGCGCTTACCGAGCAATCTGGACAGGTCGGGTCTGTGGGATATTTCAGGTGAGATATCAGGTGAGATATCAGGTGAGATATCAGGTGAGATATCAGGTGAGATATCAGGTGAGATATCAGGTGAGATATCAGGTGAGATATCAGGTGAGATATCAGGTGAGATATGAGGTGAGATATGAGGTGAGATATGAGGTGAGATATGAGGTGAGATATCAGGTGAGATATCAGGTGAGATATCAGGTGAGATATCAGGTGAGATATGAGGTGAGATATGAGGTGAGATATGAGGTGAGATATGAGGTGAGATATCAGGTGAGATATCAGGTGAGATATCAGGTGAGATATCAGGTGAGATATCAGGTGAGATATCAGGTGAGATATCAGGTGAGATATCAGGTGAGATATCAGGTGAGATATCAGGTGAGATATCAGGTGAGATATCAGGTGAGATATCAGGTGATATATCAGGTGAGATATCAGGTGAGATATCAGGTGAGATATCAGGTGAGATATCAGGTGAGATATCAGGTGAGATATCAGGTGAGATATCAGGTGAGATATCAGGTGAGATATCAGGTGAGATATCAGGTGGGATATCAGGTGAGATATCAGGTGAGATATCAGGTGAGATATCAGGTGGGATATCAGGTGAGATATCAGGTGAGATATCAGGTGAGATATCAGGTGAGATATCGGGTGAGATATCAGGTGAGATATCAGGTGAGATATCAGGTGAGATATCAGGTGAGATATCGGGTGAGATATCGGGTGAGATATCGGGTGAGTTTAAACACAGCATGTCTACAAATAAACATTTATGGACGATGTGCATATATATATAACACTGAAACTTGATATGATATCCTAACTGTGACAATTCTAACTGAGACAATTCTAACTGCAGTTTACTAACCACAAGTTGGTACTGTAGACAGTGCCCCGTTAGTGCATGTTATTGTTGAAATCCCGGAGTCAGATATTACGAACCCGGCATTACAAGTAACCTCGTAAGTAGTTCCTGAATTTATTGTTTCCAAATCTGGTTCAACTTTACCGTCATTAATATCTGGCTTATTGCAGGGCGCTGAAATACGTTTATATGGTTATGTGGTTAGATTTATTCCACATTATAATTGGCTAGAAATCTTAACTTTAGACGTCATAATAGTGTGCCACCTTTTGAGAGAGGAAAAGTTATAATATATAATACATCATCTTCAGGAGGGAGGAGGGATTTAAAGAGGGTATTTTAAAGAGAATTACCAGGTTGACAAGTTGGTACTGTAGAAAGTACCCCGTTAGTGCACGTTACTGTTGAAATCCCGGAGTCAGATATTACGAACCCGGCATTACAAGTAACCTCGTAAGTAGTTCCTGAATTTATTGTTTCCGAATCTGGTTCAACTTTACCGTCACTTATGGCTGGCTTATCGCAGGGCACTGAAATGTTGATACGGTTACAAGAAAAAGTATTTTTTACATAATTTTCACACAATAACACACACTATAAACATCCGATTTTACTGGGAAAATCTTTCAAAATTAGTGACTAAAATAGTTTCTTAGGTGTCTATTGATTTACTTATCATGATCTGTGGAATTGCCAAACCAATTCCACATATTATGACAGCATTCAACCTTTCAGTTTACAGCAGCAGCAGTATAAAATCTTAAATCTTAAAGAATTCACGTGTAAAAACATATGAACGCCAAAATCTGAAGTTTTTAATCATGGCGTTGAAAAATAATGGTTTTACCAGGTTGACAAGTTGGTACTGTAGAAAGTACCCCGTTAGTGCATGTTACTGTTGAAATCCCGGAGTCAGATATTACGAACCCAGCATTACAAGTAACCTCGTAAGTAGCTCCTGAATTTATTGTTTCCGAATCTGGTTCAACTTTACCGTCATTAATACTTGGCTTATTACAGGGCACTGAAATATTCATAAATTCATTTTTTAACTCATTAATTTTCTGTATTTGACTCACTTTTTCTCATAGATCTTACAACAACAACAACAACAACAAAAAATGTGAGAATATATTGCCAAACTAAGTTCGCATATGATAGTATTCAACTGCAATTAGTTCGGAGCAGTAGTACTAGTAGTAAAAATCCGTAAATCTTAAAGAATTCACGTGTCAAAAACATATGGACGCCAGAATCTGAAGTTTTTAATCATGACGTTGAAAAATAACGGTTTTACCAGGTTGACAAGTTGGTACTGTAGAAAGTGCCCCGTTAGTGCACGTTACTGTTGAAATCCCGGAGTCAGATATTACGAACCCGGTATTACAAGTAACCTTGTAAGTAGCTCCTGAATTTATTGTCTCCGAATCTGGTTCAACTTTACCGTCATTAATATCTGGCTTATCGCAGGGCACTGAAATATTCATAAATTCATTTTTTAACTCATTAATTTTCTGTGTTTGTCTCACTTTTTCTCATAGATCTAAGTAGGATTAGGGTCAATTTATTAGGGTCAATGGTTAAGTTAGGTTTTTAGTACAGTTTATATTATAGTTTAATAGTTAGTTCTTATAGTCCATTATTAGAGTAAAGTAATTTCGTAGGTTTTATATTGCAGCATCTTTTAGAATCCTTTTAGTGCTAGGTTACATTCATTTACATTTCTTATCTTTACATTTTAGTTTTACGTGTAAGTACGAGCACGCGGAAGTTGTACTCATGCGTGACTTATATTCACGCGTGAGTACAGCCTTTTTAAGGGCCTACTTGTTCAGTGCGGGCGTCTGTGTCACGTCCCCCTTTTGGAGAGTTTTTAAGATTATTACAAAGTACAATATGTTTATTTACCGAATTATCCAAAGACTTTTTTCTATTCTATTTAGACATTTTTAGTGAGACACACTTCTCACCTTTATAAGTTTACTGTTGAAGTTTAGTAAGGCACACTCCTTACTGTTGTATCGGACACACTTCTGATACAACCAAATTGTAGAGACACACTTCTCTCCTTTACTGTTACGTATTTATTGTTGAAGTTTAGTAAGGCACACTCCTTACTGTTGTATCGGACACACTTCTGATACAACTAAATTGTTGAGACACACTTCTCTCCTTTTCTGTTATTGATATTGGGACATACTTCCCGATCGTTTGATACTAGTGAGTGTAGATTGACATAAGTTAGGAACGCCCACGTTCTCGCCACGTAAGACCACCTATCGTATAATACCTCGTTTACAACAGTGAGAATATATTGCCAAACTAAGTTCGCATAATATGACAGTATTCAACCAATTAGTTCGGAGTGCAGTAGTACTAGTAGTAAAAATCCGTAAATCTTAAAGAATTCACGTGTAAAAACATATGGACGCCAAAATCTGAAGTTTTTAATCATGGCGTTGAAAAATAACGGTTTTACCAGGTTGACAAGTTGGTACTGTAGACAGTACCCCGTTAGTGCACGTTACTGTTGAAATCCCGGAGTCAGATATTACGAACCCATCATTACAAGTAACCTCGTAAGTAGTTCCTGAATTTATTGTCTCCAAATCTGGTTCAACTTTACCGTCACTTATGGCTGGCTTATCGCAGGGCGCTGAAATGTTGATACGGTTACAAGAAAAAGTATTTTTTACATAATTTTCACACAATAACACACACTATAAACATTTTTAAAACTCCGATTTTACTGGGAAAATCTTTCAAAATTAGTGACTAAAATAGTTTCTTAGGTGTCTATTGATTTATTTATCATGATCTGTGGAATTGCCAAACCAATTCCACATATTATGACAGCATTCAACCTTTCAGTTTACAGCAGCAGCAGTATAAAATCTTAAATCTTAAAGAATTCACGTGTAAAAACATATGGACGCCAAAATCTGAAGTTTTTAATCATGACGTTGAAAAATAACGGTTTTACCAGGTTGACAAGTTGGTACTGTAGAAAGTACCCCGTTAGTGCACGTTACTGTTGAAATCCCGGAGTCAGATATTACGAACCCGGCATTACAAGTAACCTCGTAAGTAGTTCCTGAATTTATTGTCTCCAAATCTGGTTCAACTTTACCGTCATTAATATCTGGCTTATCGCAGGGCGCTGAAATATTCATAAATTCATTTTTAACTCATTAATTTTCTGTGTTTGTTTCACTTTTTCTCATAGATCTTGCAACAACAACAAAAAATGTGAGAATATATTGCCAAACTAAGTTCGCATAATATGACAGTATTCAACCAATTAGTTCGGAGTGCAGTAGTACTAGTAGTAAAAATCCGTAAATCTTAAAGAATTCACGTGTCAAAAACATATGGACGCCAGAATCTGAAGTTTTTAATCATGGCGTTGAAAAATAACGGTTTTACCAGGTTGACAAGTTGGTACTGTAGACAGTGCCCCGTTAGTGCATGTTACTGTTGAAATCCCGGAGTCAGATATTACGAACCCGGCATTACAAGTAACCTCGTAAGTAGTTCCTGAATTTATTGTTTCCGAATCTGGTTCAACTTTACCGTCATTAATATCTGGCTTATTGCAGGGCGCTGAAATACGTTTATATGGTTATGTGGTTAGATTTATTCCACATTATAATTGGCTAGAATTCTCGACTATAGACGTCATAATAGTGTGCCACCTTTTGAGAGAGGAAAAGTTATAACATATAATACACCATCTTCAGGAGGAGGAGGGATTTAAAGAGGGTATTTTAAGGAGAATTACCTGGTTGACAAGTTGGTACTGTAGAAAGTACCCCGTTAGTGCACGTTACTGTTGAAATCCCGGAGTCAGATATTACGAACCCGGCATTACAAGTAACCTCGTAAGTAGTTCCTGAATTTATTGTATCCGAATCTGGTTCAACTTTACCGTCACTTATGGCTGGCTTATTACAGGGCGCTGAAATATTATGAAATATTCATAAATTTTAAAATTAGCTCGATCAAATATAAATTAACTTTTGAGAGATAAGAACCATAAATCGTATAAGATTAAGTATACTTTACATACTAAACCAAACTGCTTAGTAGCTTGGCAAGAGAATATATAACATCACCAAGACAGTAACTGGTATCTTACTGGGGCAGGGTTCAGTATTGCACTCTCTCAATTCTTCATCATCACCAGAACACTCAGTCCCACACTGGTTAGGAGCAGTGCACGATTTGGTCCTTGTTTGGGTACCTCCATCGCAGTTTGCTGAGCACTCTGACCAATCTTCAAATTCACTCCATACACCGTCAACTGGTTTACAGCTTTTACACGCGTCTAAGAGAATTGGGGTTCAAGGTGGCATTGTGAAACCTGTAGTCCGCCGAAGAGGATCCCATTCAAAGAAATTCTCTTTCTTTCTTCAATGGGACACATAAAATAAAAGGCATGACCAGTGACAGAAATATTGATTGTAAAACTAAGATATGTGTGCTCAAACTAGTAGCGGGCAATTAAAGAATTAAGGCAACACAAATCGCGAACCCGCGTCCGTACCTGTTCCTGTGCAAATGACGATGACTGCGATGATGGCTGTGACAATTACAACCAACAGTATCCAAAAAAACCAGCCTGAAATGCACAACATCATGAGTCATGAATCATAACTTTACAGAAGTAAATAATATTACATATTAAAATGAAATCAACAACAAAAAACAGTGCACCAATTATAATAATAAAATAGTCGTTGAAAAGCTAAGTGACAAACGACCACCCTGAGCCAAGTGTTTACACATTGCTGGTGGTAGCCATGCAGTTCTGTCTACGTGCTATAGTTAGAAGCACATCTGAAAATTGGAGGAAGCGGGATTCAGCAGAATCACCCTTCTAGTCCACTATGTGATGGTTTACCGGATTCCGCAGCCAATATCCTGAACTTACATGTGATGGAAATACCCAGAAAACGACCTACTGACCTACTCCGATACAAGATTTTCTGTGATGCAAGGGTGCACCATCCTCTTCATTTTCTGGAGACCATGCTAATCTTACTTGAGGGACACTGTTAAGTTCAGCCTTTTCGGCATCTTTAGACTCAATTTGCTGAGCTTCAGTTTTCTGACCACCACCAGCGCTAGAATGCTTGGACATGAGCAAATTTATTTCACGAGACCAAACTTAATGGAGCAGTAAACGAACCGAAACAATATAATGATTAACAGACGATCAAACTATGCCAGCGGAGAAGCATTTCTCGTGTCAGTATAATACACACGACTAATAATAATAATATGTAGAGTGTAAGTTTGATATGCATTGTGGTAAGCACTCTGGAGCTAAATCATCATTCATCATGTTAAGTTTCAATAAAGGGAAAGCAGAAGTATCAAGCTGAATCATGTTGTGCCCCCCGTGTATTATATGAAAAAAGTCTAAATTTAATTTTGGTTTTGGTCTGTTAACATAATTTACCAAACGCGACGTTGATTTATCGTTTTAACTGAACGTAAAATCCAACGAATAAAAGTTGGATTGGAGCCAGCATGTTAATTCAAATGTTAATAAACGCCAGGTAAGCATTTAGAAACGAAATCAATCAACTACGAAGGTGACGAAACATTCATGCTTACATATTATTTGCTCAAATATAAGCGATAAAAGATTTCGGAAAATATCTGTAATTGTATAATTGTTAATACGAACCACATTTGCCAACCGGAGGAAATTTTGTAAACGATGGACAAAATCCAGATTCAGTTCGTTTCGCTGGAACGACGATGGGCGCTTCTTCTAATCGAACTTCTCCTAATTCCATCCCCTGTTAATGAGCGATAGAGTACATTCGTAAACTTTGCAAATTTTTTACCGTACGTACTACTTACTAGGTATTAGATTGGGTGCCTCCCAAAATATATACGATCATATAAGTAAAAACTGTTAATTCAGATGTTAATAAACTCCAGCTCAGCATTTATAAACGAAATCAATTAACTACGAAGGTGACGGAACATTCATGCTTACATATAATTATAAATGATAAGATTTTATGTGCGTAACCAATAACCAGTACCTTAATACTTTAATAGACTACGAGTGGCAGTGTTAATAGTGGCTGGTGCTAACTTAATACTTTAATAGACTACGAGTGGCAGTGTTAATAGTGGCTGGTGCTAACTTAATACTTTAATAGACTACGAGTGGCAGTGTTAATGGTGGCTGGTGCTAACTTAATACTTTAATAGACTACGAGTGGCAGTGTTAATGGTGGCTGGTGCTAACTTAATACTTTAATAGACTACGAGTGGCAGTGTTAAAGGTGGCTGGTGCTAACTTAATACTTTAATAGACTACGAGTGGCAGTGTTAATGGTGGCTGGTGCTAACTTAATACTTTAGTAGACTACTAGTGGCAGTGTTAATGGTGGCTGGTGCTAACTTAATACTTTAATAGACTACGAGTGGCAGTGTTAATGGTGGCTGGTGCTAACTTAATACTTTAATAGACTACGAGTGGCAGTGCCTTTTAGTAACCTGGTCCCGAGTTTCAAGCTATAGCAGGTTATCATACGGTTAATTAAGCAATATAAGGGAAGAGCAAATATGTGAACATGACACAGTCAACACACACACCAGCACACGAAGCTCAACTGATCAACAATACTAGCGCCCGGTCGGCTCATGTTTGACTCTTAATAAGTTGTAGCATTTTATACCTACACCCGCTAAATATTATACCTACACCGTGTAAATAAGTTCTTGAACACAATGATCAATGACCATAGGTAGTCATAGCTGCCAACTCACGAGTTGTAAATGGGCCCACATTAAACACTATAATTATAGTATGTAATTGTTATGTGCTTTTAGTGTGTTATGATTTGACCGAAGTAAAACTTTATAATTGGAAAACATGATCGTGTCAAAATAATCAGGAAGCTGGAGGTATTGAAAATTGAAATAAAATGCAATTCGCAACCTGATTACAACGGTTCATAACCATACCGCGAAACCCTAGATATATCATAGACAACTCTGAAAAAGACATGATTATTGCTAGCTAGATTGCCAAAAAGGAAATCCAGATTATGATGTCACGATAATAATGGAAAAAATATCAAGAGAAACGAAAACAAAATAAAAATGTACATGCATTCCATAAGTGTACCAAACTGAACCTGCTTCAACACAAATACACAATTGTTCAACAATTCTTTAAAGGAACATAATATTGCATTGTACACAAACACTAACACTCAGAAATATTAATTATGTCATTCCTACATGGTTACTCATCATGGAAGTATTATGCAGTGCTAGCTGCGCCTAATGATGGGGCTACATTGCAACATAATATCATTGAAAATGTCCACCAGCGGTATAGTCACTACATACAGCTATTATTGACCAGTAGACGTGGCAGTGCCAACATCATGCTGAACTGCAGGCTAAGTATTGGCCTCAACTTTGTGAGAAATCTGAACAATAATCATAAAACCAACAATCCAATAGAGTAAACTGTAAAGCCAACACATTTGTTAAAAAAAGAAGACTACACAAACAAATGGTTCGGTAGAAAGAGAAGACTACACAAAGAAAAGAGAAGACAAATGAATGAAAAAGAAATGAACGGGCGATGATATCATAATAGCAAGACGGTAACAACATCCTAGCTCGATAAAATTGAATACCTATAAAATTGAATACCGATAAAATTGAATACCGATAAAATTGAATACCTATAAGTCAGCAAATGCAAAAGTCTGAATTGGTGTTTACGTTTACATCGGTATTTACGTTGGTAATCGAAAAGAAGCGTCATGTATTATGGTTGACATGTGTAGTAATGATTGATATGTTTTATATTCCCATTGGAAATTCCGAATACTCCTCTCAAAGCGGGAAACAAATTAAATTAACATCGTCATCTCAAGAATTACTGAAATGTACACTACGTATAAGAATATAATGTTCCTGCACAAATTAATGAACGAAACAGAAATAACGGACGATGGAATCGAATATTAGAAGGATTGCAACTGGGCCCATGATAACTTAATTACTCGACGAAAACGAAAGTAAAACGAGATTCTAAATCACTCTACACTGGAACTTCGAGATTTTTATATGAGACCTCGGCAGTTAAAACCAACTTGGATAGTAGGTACCTATAACGCCGATTCCGAATCACCTCACAATCCACATGACATAGGGTTGAAAATTTAAATGCTCCCCTGGCGAGTTATCGGTTAAAAACTATTTCGATCATGTGACATGACTGATGACACGTGACACGTGACATGACTGACACGTGACACGTGACATGACTGATGACATGTAAGAAAGTTGGTTTAATTCCTCGTTAGGCCGTTGTAGTTTTAGCATATGCTTGAGTTAGGGATCGGGTTAGGGTTAGAGTTGGAGTCACAGTAGAGGGGTAGGGTTTAATTGAATTTAGAACGTGCAAAACTTAGACACGCGATTGTCCAGTGTAGAGTGATTTATCCAAAGTAAAAGTGTTTACATTTAAAGCCACCTACATTACGGCAAGTAAAAGGGATACCTACATGCGGGATACTAATTTAATTTACACCCATTATTATACTTGTATGATACCATACCAACCACTGAAGAGTGTCCAAAAGCATTATGATAATATATCATGTTCATCCTTCACATTTGTTAATCGTTTCAATATATATAACCCATGTCTTTAAAAGACGAGTTATTAGAAAATTCCGCGGTTAAATAATGTACAACCACGCCTTTCAATTTAAAATCACGTGGCTCGCAGTGAAATTTCACATTCCAGTAAACACTAAATACTCTGAATAGATACTCTTGTGTTATTATTAAGGTGACACGATCCGCTCTTAGCAACACAGAGTAATATGATGCGCGATTGTATCACAAATCACGATAACATGTGATCCGAATTTGCAAAAAGCTAAGTATCACATGAACATGCCATGCTCTTAACAAGGTCTGACATCCATTAACATGATGGTGGTTCAGTATAAATCCTGAACGTTGTTATTTATCATCATCATTATTTGTATAACTTTTTCTCTGAAGACAACCAACTACTATCCTGATGGAATTCCTTGCCCTTTGCAACGCTAATGTGTTGGACGATTCCCTCAACTCTCTTCATACTAATAACAATACCTCATCGTACGATCTTGACTCTGAACAAATTTTCCAGCATGTACATTGTTCCTTCTTTAGATCTGAGCTCTACTTAGATCAGAATGCTACCTCCTCCCACCCACTTAATTTGGCTTTTCTCTGCGTGGAAACTTCTACTCCCGCTGAACAGCATACCGTCCCTTCTTCCTCGTGTCAGGAGAACAACCCCTTCCTGGATCCACATAACGATTCTTTCCGTTTGGGATTCTTCGCCCCCTCCTTAGAAACTTCAACTCCCGCTGAACAGCATTCCGTCCCTTCTTCCTCGTGTCCAGAGAACAACCCCTTCCTGGAACCACATAACGATTCTTTCCGTTTGGGATTCTTCGCCCCCTCCTTAGAAACTTCAACTCCAGCTGAACAGCATACCGTCCCTTCTTCCTCGTGCCCAGAGAACAACCCCTTCCTGGAACCACATAACGATTCTTTCCGAGAGGGATTCTTCGCCCCCTCCTTGGAACCTGAACCGCCCTCGTGGATGATATGCAAACGTTTCTCACCTTCCTTTGCAGCTCGCTCAACTGAACCTACTCCCAGCAGCACCTCTCTATCAGAGAACCCTTTTTTAAGAGATGGTGATGGTGACAATATCTTCAAGATGAAGAAGCAGGGACAATTTTAAAACAAATTGTGCGCATCTTATGTTTATGAGCTCGAACTAAGTTTGACAGTTTTGATACAGTTTTGGATTATCTTTTTTGTTTTTGCCATTGCTAAGTGCTTCGGACACGATGTTGCTGCTTAAGCAGAAATATTGTGATGACTTTGTGTGAGATTTTAAGTAATAATTATTATATATTACAATTACCTATTACAATTAACATTAATGAAATATTGTCTCTGTTTTGTCTCCGAAATTATAGCACTAGAAACCAGGCAGCTAAACTAAAGCGGTATTTGGAAACTTGTTTATCTGTTAGTTATTTCTAGTGACGATTGGGTTGAGTTGTCGTTTCAGAGTTAATTAGGTATACTGATTGTGTTTAAAATTATTTTCCCAAGCTACCCTGTCTAGCAAAAGTCCAAATTGGGTTCAGTTGTCCAGTAGCCCTGATGACATGTTATGTAATTTCTTGTTGGTTTAATTTCT